GGTTGCAATTGGGTGGGTTGGTTGGTTGGAAATGGATTGAAGAGAAATGCACCCACTAACCATCTAGGCCCATTAGCCACACCCATCCGACCGAATCAATTCATTTAAACCAACCCAACCCTCTGACCAGTTGAGCTTGATGGTTGATGTAGCTAGGTGGATAAGTGTTTTTATATTTTATGCTAACTCGTACATTGCTAAGTCATAAATTAACCACTCAGAAATACTTGTCAATACATATTGGTGTGTATTGTAATCGGTTTTTGAACCCATCAAATAGACATTACAAATAATTATAACTTGAATTTTTTGGGAAATTTTTTTATTTAGTACTTTTATATAAATAATCTCTATTTTTTAAATAATAAATGTATTTTTATTTTTAACATACAATTGTTTATTTTAAATATAATTTATAATAAAACATATAAATAATTTAAGGTAGATAAAATAAATTATTTTTATAATTTTCATTTTTTATTAAAATTTTGGGGAAAATTAACTTTTAAATTATTTAGATCAATTGTTATAATTATAATTTACAACTTTTATTAGGAAATTTTATTTATTTAGTATTTTATATAAATAATAACTCTATTTTTTTAATAATAGATATGTTTTCATTTTTAACATATAATTTATATGTAAAATAAAATGTATAAATGATTTAAGATAAATAAAATAAATTAATTTTATAACTTTCAGTCCTTGTTAATTTTTTGGTGGAAAATTAAATCCTAAATCAAGGTTTGAATATGTTGTCAAATTAGGGTCCAATACACATCTATATTGGTGAGTATTGGGTTGTTTCCACCGATACAGTGGAATACGTTGTATCTACTGATATAGTGTGACATGCACCCTATACATTGGCGTATTGTACTGATACACATGATTGACAGGATACACATAGAATTGTATCGTATCCTATGCCGGTGAGTGCATGGATATGGATATGATACGCCTCATATCGAGTGTACTGTATTAATACTTTAATCCTTGAATCTATACCTAAATATATTAAAACGAAGTAAAAAATAAACCTAAATATATTAAAAAGAAGTTAAAAATAAAATAAAACAACTGTATAAAAAACAAAAAAAAAGTAAAATGATGAATCAACTAATAATAATCATTCAAATATTAAAGGTAATTATTCAAATGCTAAAAATACTTATGAAATATGAACTCATAAAAAAATTAAAGCATAAAAATATATAAAACCTAAAAATAAATACAACTTAGAAAATAGTTTTCGGTGATAAAAAAAATTCAAAAACCATTTTTAGTTAAATAATTTGGATATGATGTGAAGCAAGTTATCAAGTCAATCATTGAAACAATAACCAACTAAGCTTGTAGTATCATGGATTTTTATTCTCTTCAAGTCACTCTTAACAAGTACTTATTAGTAATAAATTTCTACGGAAAAGTATAGACAGGCCTAATGCAGATTTCTGAATTCCACTACAAATCTATAAACATTCAAAAGGTCAAAAACCCACACTCTATGCATCTATACCGGCCCGTGAATTGGCATCAATTCCGAGCTGGTACCTTCCCCAAATGTACTTTGTGCCTAAAGATTCTGACCCTGGGTTGAACCGTCATTCTCCCAAATTTGTACTTGTTTTGGATGACCTATGAAATGATAAAGTCATGACTTTGATGAATTAAAGGCGCCTCTAAAAGATGGAAGAATGACAGCAAAATTCTAAAAAGTGAAATGGTGTCAACAGCTTTTGGTGTTAAATCAATTAATAAAATTATATAAAAAAGACAAAAGAATAAAATAATTATTCAATTAATAGTAATCCTATAAATATTAAAGATAATTATTCAAAGATTAAAAAAATGCTTATGCTTAACAAAGACAGTAAATATGAAATTATAAAAAAAATTGCAAGTCATAAAACCATAAACAAGTTAAAAATAATAAAAAATAGAAATTATTTTTCAATAATGAAAAAGTACTTATTAATAATAAATTTGTATTCGTTTCCATCCTTTTTGATGACCTATAAAAGGCTTCGACTATGATATGGAAAAGATATGATATCGGAAAAACATCTGACCAATCAACTGGAATCATAAATGTGGTAGTGAATCAAGTATTATTTATCAAAATTCATGGGTGAGTTTTGATTGGTCAAAACTCTTTACATACCATATCTTTCCCGCATCATAGATTTTTCTCCTATAAAATGATAAATGTCACGACTTGAAAGAATTAAAGGTAGTTCCTCGAACTGGTAAAATGGTAGCAAAATTTTAGAACAACACAAAGTAAAATGGTTTCAAATATCAATAGCTTTTTAGTGATGATGTTATTCATTATCCCAAAAAAAAATGCCTGATGAAGATCGTTTGTTACTCAATCAGAAGACTTTCAAACAAAACATGATTAGCACTAGTGGAGAAAAGAACATGAGAAATTTGTATTCAAGTGAGAAGGATTGCCATTATTCAAATTTCAATAGCTTTTTACTACCACTTGCCTTATCATTTAATTAAGTCAATGTTTGGCTATCTGTTTCTTGTATTCTTAATCAAAAATACATTTGATAAGGATGAGCAAATATGATTTTGGATGGCAAAGTCTTTAATTCAAACTAAAGGGATGGAGAGATTGAAAAGCATTTTCCTCTACTTTATATGGTTAATGGTTCAAAATATTTGGTGTCAAAGATTATCCATACCTTTGGAAAGCAAATTCTTATTGATGACAGCCTTATGATTAACATATCTATTAATCTTCAACATTAAGGCCTATCTCTAATATGATTTACCTTGTTTCTCTCGGAAAATTGAAATTTCTTCCCTCCACAATTTGAAAAAAAAAAGTGAAATTTCAAAAAACTAGTATGTATTTGTGTCTTAGACTTGAGTTATACAAATATAATTGAAATGCCAATTTACCACTGATAAATTTCTCTAATAAGTGCATGATTTTGGGTTCAACCCAGGATTGAGGTATTTGGATACATTGATATCATATAGGACACATCATATCGATATTTTAATTTTTGATCTAATTAATCAAGTGATGTTTATCTCTTAAATCTTGTTTTATTTAAATTTTCAACTTGATGAGCACCAAATTGTTAGTAATGTCTTTGCTTGGCTCATAAGTTATTAAAGGTCAGGGGCTTAGGGCTAAAAAAATATAAACTCTACTTAACTTTGGTTGGATTAGGATTGAGGCTTTGGACAATTTGGTCTCATCTAAACTCAATGTGTCTTCATGTTTATAAAAATAAATAATATAAATACGTATGCATGTTTACTTGTGTGCTAAGTTTGTAGCAAAGATTTATGTGTACCAATAACCAGGGTATTGTTGATTACGGGTGAGCATGTTCGGTTCAGTTCCATGGCAGCGTTTCAGGTTTTTGAAACTAGAACTTACCTTGTGAAGGTCAGTTCTGATCTTAGCGATTCCGAGGTCAGTTACAGGATTTACCGGTGAAATTTGTTTTTTCTTTACTCTTTCACTTAAAAAAATGAAATGTGTTCTTTAAAAACTTGATTTTCATAAATATAATTTAAAATTATATTATCTTTATTGATTAAATTGAGTAATTTAATATATAGATCATCATAATATATTAATATATGGTCTAAAATTTATCATTATAATTTAAATTCTGTAAGTATTACATTTTACATTATTTATTATACACATTAAGATCGTTACATCCTCAAAAGTATTTTGGGGTTTAGTTCAAGGCAGATTCGGTTTCAAGGCCAACCAATGTTGGTTCATCAGAGTAAACCCTTAGACTCTAGAATCAGCCTCTATGAGGGTCAGTTCCAAGAATTTAGAGCCAGACCCTACCCTCTAACATATTGAATAGGGTCAGTTCAAAGCGTTGCATTCAGTTCCTAATAGAACTTACCCATTTTCTTACCCCTATTACTGACAAAAAAATGTAGGGTATTGTTAAACGAAAAAAAAAAAAAAAAGAAATCAGACCCGCCGAATTAATTGGGTGAGGTCAGAGTTAGTATTAGGAGTTCAACAATGTTGGTCCAACCCAATCTAACCAGGCCCAAATCTGCATCCCCACCTGTCAACAAAACACGTTCCAACCCTCTACTAACTTGATCTCACACCAGATCCCACTTTTATAGTGGGTCTCAATCTCATGGTGTTAGATCATGTTGGTAGAGGGTTAGAACGTATTTTTGGTAGAAAATCCCAACTCGTAAAAGTGGGACTGCTAGAAATATTGGTTCTATCAGTTTTGTGTGCTAGGGAGTATGGGCGGGTCAACCACTTGATTAATTACAAATCATCAGGGATTTGGTTTTGCCATTTTGTGATTTGCGGCCGTGAATGAAGTAAGCTACCCTATGGCTAGCAATATCCAGCATCCAATTCAAAATCAATCAACCTATGATTCTTAACGCTAATGGAATTGGAATCGGAATCAGAATTAAAACCCTTCAAAATCAGAATGAGAATAGTTTATTCCCATAGTCCGTTTGGTTTAAATATGAATCTAAGTAGGAATTGGAATCAGCTGGAATGTGATTCATTCCAATTTCCAAGAGAGGGGAGAGAGAATGGCCATCCCTTCAAAAGGGGGAATTTTGGAATGGTGGCATTCCTATTCCACCCCACCAAGCAGTTGGTCCAGCATTCCAATTCTGATTCCAGACCTCTATTCCTGCAAACCAAAAGAACCCTAAAATGAAAGTGGTTAACACAGTTAGTTTATGATTCTTTAGAAAATCCATGAGGCTGCGTTTGTTTCTCCCTAATGAACATAAAATTTTCATACCGAAATATTTGAGCTATCATTTTTTCTGTATTTACGGCGAAAGTTCTGTCTGCCACCCCTTCTTAGTTTTAATCTGTTTTCATATAAATGGCAAGAAAGACAAATTTAAATGTAGCTAGCAGATCACCCAGAAATAAACTCGAAATTGAATTTGGATCCTTCACCCAGGAAAAAAAAAAACTGGCAAGGAGTATAGTGTCCTGTACTGTTATGTGATTGCTAAATTAGTTTCTGTGGCATTGAAAAGATACTTTGAGCTCTGCCACTTAAATTTCAGTTAAGGAACAGACTGTCTGTGGCAATATTCAAATACTCTGGTACAGTGAAAAATTTAAGCCTCTTCAGCTTGCTTGGAGAAAGAGAATATGAGAATAAGACACAGAGGCACTACTATGAATGAAGCAATCTTTAATAACTCCTCATTCTCTTTTGAAATCACACCAATTCTTGACCAATCTCCACTGTACCTGAACAGAAAGCATTGGGATGTTCAAATAATGGATTCAGAAACACAAATTGAAACAACCACCTATAAGAATAACATATGCTATCAGAATAGACCTAAATGAGAGAGAGAGAGAGTACCCAGCATCAACGAACCCCAAACCAAAGACGGCAACCGCAGATCTGGCGAGGAGGACGTTTGACACTCTCAAAGGAAAGATGGGTTCCCGTTGTGTTCCCAGTTTCTCAGTGGAATCACGTTTTCTGGCTGATGCGGGTTTGAGTTTGAATCTCTTTCCATTTCTGTTCTGAAAGAGAAGATAAGGAGAGAAGTTGGAGGAGGTGATAAAGCTCCGTTCTGTGACCAGCATTTTCTTTCTGTCACTCTAGGCTCTTGGCTTCTTTATTTAACGAAATTGTGAAAAAGACTGGTTATATCTAGCCGTCGGATGTGCATCTTGTGAATCCTGAAGCTTTTGTTTATTAAATCCTTTTCATTGAATGTTCAAACGTGGTTCGGGGTTTGGAAGCTCTTTTTTATTTATTTAAATGTTCCTAATCATGTCATATAGAGTCTTACTTCATTTAACAACTGACCAGGTTAACCCTCAGTTACATATTACTTTAAAAAATAGATATTTTTTATACATAAAATATTTTCTAAAAATAAATTTCCATTTTCTTTTTAGTCATCAGCAATTTTCATTTTCAGTCTTTCTTTCTTTGTCCTCTTTATGTTGAATAGAAATCTTTATCATACCCTAGCTATCTAAGGGTGTCAACGGTACTTGAAAATCGATTTCAAATTCGAGATTCGACAAAAACGATTTGAATTTGAATAATTCAAATATTTAATTAGACGAATTTGGATATTCTATTCATACTAATTAGCTAATTGGATTCAAATACGAATATGATCTAATATGATCCAAAAAATTTTCGAATTCAATCAATTATTAATTTATATATATATGTAATATAAACTATTTAAATGTTTTATATAATTTACATATAATAATTAATTTATATAAATAATTTATATATTTATATATTTTATATAAATAAAATATTTATTTTATATATTTATTAATTACCTAAAATAAGTAATTGGTCAAATTCGAATCAAACATTCAAATATTTAATCAGACTCGAATTAGGATATTGCTTTTCAAATTTGATCCGTTTACACTCCTATTTATATGTTGGTGGATAACAAAGAGAAACAAGGATCCATCCATTTGGATCTAAATACCCCTAACTAGGGGTGTCAATGGACTAGTTTTGGGTTGAACCTCATCCAAACCAAAATCAATTTGGACAGATTGGATGGACCAACAAAACATATTGAATTGGACCAATCCAGATTTAATGGTCTCAAGATAGGATTGGACCTGGTCCATCTGTAATGAATTTATATTGGACTAGGTTGGATTAAGCCAATATCTAGTCCATTGATACAGGATACGAATATAGGTGTCAATGGATCAAGTTTGAGTTGGAATCAGTCTAAATTAAAATAAAGTGGCTGTTTGGCATCATTGTCGTTTCATGGAGCATCAGTGCCACATTGGAAAAAACAGTGCTCCAGGAAACGGGCATTTGTTTGGAACCGTTTTTCCATAAAAAATGGTGCTCCAAGCCATGCCTCGGAAATCAGAAAGTCATGCCTTGGAGCAACACCAAATTTGGCATTTCCTGGAGCTACAACTCGTTGCTGCCAATAGAGTAGTGATGTGGCACTGGATAATGGGTACCAATGCTGAAAACGTTTCCTGGAGCATTGGTACCAACCAGAAAAAGTTATTGTTGCTCCAGGAAACATCCTACATAGCAGCAACGCTTCCAAAAAAAATAAAGGCACCATTTTCTGAGAAAACGGTGCATCCAACCAGACATCAACAGAACCATTAACAAGATCGAATCATATTGACTCACCCTCACTCCCTTCAAGTGGTAGAGAACTTTTTATTCTAAGAATGCTTGTATTGGTAAAGACCCTACCCAACATGAAATACACCACGACTAGAAATATATCCTGCCAGTGGTGCGTATCAGATCGATATGAGTGCATATCAGCCCATATCGATGACCATCATGCCATTTAATTAAAAAATAAACTTGACATTAGAGCAATTCAAACTTGAGTCTCTCAACACACCACGTGCTACAATCATAATTCTTGTGTTAATAATTGAAATAAAATAACTTTTATTAAATATTGTATTTACATACTACATGTAATCCAAATAAATAATACATATTTACGTTTAACAATTTCAATTAAAAATTAAAAAGAATTTATGCAAATAAAATATTAATAATAGAATGATTATTTTAGTACTGAGTATATACTTTACATTAAATAGAAATATATTAAATATTTACAAAAAATAAAAATGTTTACAAAATATTTAGCAATATAATATTAAATAGAATAAATCAACTCTACTAATCAACATTTATAACAAAAACAGTTTTTAATGTTAGAAAAACTATAGAAACAAAAATATTAATAATGTAATAATCATATTAGCAATTAAAAGTTCGCACACACACACACATATATATCAAAGTTGATTTATTTTAAATTGAAATTATATACTTTTATAACTTATTAATTGATATTTTAATTTATACTTAAAAAAATTAATATTTGATCGACTTTTTGTTAATGTGAAAAAAGGTAAAAATATACATTTCCTATATGTTTATACATTATTTGTGACTATTTGATTTTAAATTCAGTGTTATTAATATATTTATGGCTATGTGTTGTCCTAGCATATCTAAGTGTTTCCATATTTTTCCTCTATATCCATGCATTTCAAAAGCATATCTAAATTGTCAGATACGATATTTATTACTTATCATTTGATCCTTGGTCAGTACTACTACCACAGACATCGTGGTAAAAAGAGCTCTGACTTCAGCTTCAATCATAAAATGGACCATGATTCAATCCATTTGTACCCTTAAGAGTCCCTCATTGCCACATGACTAGAGAATAAAGCCATAATATTCCCTTGTTTCTCAACACCCCACATATGCCTAGGGGGCTTGGGTTGCCTTAGTTATTCCGATCAAAATTTAGTTTCACGAAGTTCTCAACAAGAGGTTTCAATTGAACTTTTTCTTTTTCTCTTGTGGAGGAACTTCTTGCCACTACCCAAATTCTCCATACATCATCAAAGAACCAATGAAAGAAAGAATCTAAGGTCCTAAGCCAATGTATCACCATCATCATTATGCAATCTCTTACCTATTCTTTACTTCTCCCCTTTCCTAAGATACTATTGTTCCTTTCTTCCCACATAGTCCAAATTATGCTTTAGCACTTTTCCATATAATCCTTCCTTCCCCTTCTTTTAGGACAAATGAAGGTAAAAGGGTCAAAAAGCTTATCTGCCTCCAAACTAGACCAGATGAGCGGACCAATTGACCCAAAAACATATTATGGCTCTGGGTCCAGTTTGGACTCCAAAACCATTCGACCAAGGTTCAAACCAAAGTGAACCAAAGTGGTTCCATTTCCAAATCGGTTTTCAAAAGCATGTTGGTTTAAATCCCTCACCTATTCTAGGAGGACCCACCATTACTTCTTTGTTTTAATAGCTTAAAATAATAGAATCATTACTTGGTTATAGTGCTCAGAACCTCATATCCGTTTTGGTTTGGTTCATGAAAACAATGTAATTAACCCACCGTTTGACACAACCGGTTGGACTGTTGACCTGTTTGACCCAGTGACCGAATCACAGGTTGCACACTCAATGCATGCTCAGAGGCCATAATTTTGCACTCAGATGTCCGATTGATGTGATTTTTTTTTTATTTTGAGTAACTTTTTGAGATCTGTGTCCCAAGGCACTGTAGGCACCTTGCCCCACTATTTTTGTGGAAAAAAAAAACCTTTTTTGCCTCAAATTAAAATTTTTAATATTTTGTATAACTAAAAAAATTAAAAACTGAATTAAAAAACATAAATAAAATATAAAATAACACATATAACATATCTAAAACAAATACATTATTAAAATTTTTTAAAACATTGCAAGAAAATATGATGGAAGGGTGAATGGGGGTGGAGCTTGACCACTAGTACAAAAAATATGAATAGTGTATATATAAACATCATAGTTTTCAAGGGGGTGTAGCTCATATGGTAGAGCGCTCGCTTCGCATGCAAGAGGCACGAGGTTCAATTCCCCGCACTTCCATCTTTATTGAATCAAATTTTAACACTAAAAATATGTAATTTAGGATTTTTGTATGAACTCACTCTGATTTGCTTCTGAATCAATAAACTTATTATTATTCATCAAAAAAACATCATAGTTTTCAAGACATTGGCGATTCTGTGCAACTTCAAGGTGTCTAGCATTGTTATAAAGTATGTTACATGCGTCATTGACTTCCTTCTATTTGATCAAGAATGATGGAACTAGGAAAAAGGAAAAGACATGATGATAGTTTTGTTAATTATTATAATTGGAATAAGAAAAGTATCTTCTTTGATTTATCATATTGGAAGGACAATTTTTTGTGCCATAATTTGAATGTGATGCATACAAAAAAGAATGTGATAGTGGGATTACATCGTTAAAAATCAACAAGGCATAGGACAATGTAAATGCTCGCATAGTTTTCAATATGTCTAGGCGATTTTGGCCGATACTAGGGCACCTAGTCACCTAGGTTGGTGCCTATGTAATAAGAATTTTATAATATAAAGAATTAACAAATGGCTAGTTCCCTAGTTTTATATACCATTCAGCATGTACCTTAATTAAAAAAAATAGTGATTCTCTTTATTAATAGCATTAATTTCCTCTAAAAGTGGCAAATCATCACATCTAAAGGATAAAAATTCTTTTACATATATTAATTTTATTATTTTCCAAAATAATACAACTATAATAAGTATTTACTAGAGCAATTTCATACCAATTAGTAGCTAAAGTAGGTTATTGAATTTATATTATAAATATACAAGATGGAAGTGTAAAGTAAAATAGAAAAAAACAAAGATGAAATTTGTGTTTTCATTAATTGAGGAGAGAGAATAAAAAACTATACTTTTATTCTTTCTTTCCATCTTTCTTTTTTTTATAAATATCTTTCCATTGTTCTTTTTCTCTCCTCAAAAACCCTTTGATCTTTTAAATTTCAGTAGTAATGTACTAAAACAAAATATAAATGATATATATATAGCATACAATAAAATGTATTAAGATACATATTAATAAGATACAACAACATAAATGATATTGTAAAAAGCACACACCTTGTCATTTTTGTCATCTAAGCGGGCACTTAGTCACCTAGTTGCTATAAGTCAAAGCATTTGGGCAAGGTTTCCAGCCAAGGACGCATAGTCGCCTAGGCAATGCCTTGACAAACTATGAACATCACTATATTGCAAAGAAAAGAAAATCCTTTATGCAAATTTTGTCAAATAATTCCCTCACAAGTCACAACAAAGGACCAAGAGATACTAATTGTTCCCCCAACATCTGGGTACCTAAAGATAAGGGAGAAAAGAATAGAAAACATCATATCTAATTATTTTGATATTTCCTTCTTTTCTTTTGATAATCAAGCTTGCGCCACAACAGGAAAGCAATAGAGCACCTAGCTTTGTTAAACGGACTCACAAAAGGGCATAAAAAGCAAGAGAACCCACAAAATGAAGAAAGCAAAATAGTTGAAGATTACATTTTGCAGACATAACAGTTGAATAAGTTGAAGAAGTAAAATGAGTTCAGTTCCGTACTTGCTATAGTGTCAGAGAAGAATAAAACTCCAGTCCTACAACCAAAGACAGCAAATCAATAGACTGTCTCTCAAATCTTAGGAGCATAAATCCATTGACATGAAAATAGACCCACGAAAGTCCAATACGAAAGGAAGCAGGCTTCAAACTACAATTGTCTATTCAGTTTGAGAAGAAAGAGGCCTATAAAGCGGAGTTAATGATGGACACTTAGGCATAGTGAGAGACAAAAGGATGTCTTTCTTTTGCTAATTTTTCCAACTGAATATCATTATTGTTGTTAAGATAAAAACATAAGATCTGATTGTTGTAAAACATGAATAAATGAAAAACCAACTATCTATAGTAAGCAAAGAAGCATCTAATCAACTTTAGCATTAAAACAAAAGAGAGAGAGAGAGATGTTAGAGAGCAAGACTCAACGGAGATCGAACCTCTCTTTGGGGATGCAATATGCTGCTGTCCAAAGCTTATAAGCTGAAGAAAGGCCAAGCTCAATCTTGTTTTCCTGAAAACAAACACAAACGATGAGAGAGGGGGTGAGAGAAAAAAAGACATGCATAGAAATCTTTTTTTTTATGAATGATATGTATAGAAATCTTGATTATACAAATCTTACTTCAAATTGTTTATCTTCCCCTATTTATCTTGCTCAACCACTGATGTATATCCATTTACTCTGAGAGTGAGGATTAGTGATGAACTAAGAGATTCATAACCTCTCCAAATCTTCAAACAAAGAGAATCCCCCTGTCTAATGTTCCTAGAAAGTAAGCCATTATTAGAGGCTAGCAGAGAGATACTAACTTCTGAAACCTTCAAATCACAATCCTTGTCAGTTCAGTCAAAGTCGCACAAATTGTGGAGAGATATCAAAGAGAATACAAGAGGAATATGGGCGAGTGAAGTAACATCTAGAAACCTTCATATCATCATTCTTTTAGAGTTGCTTTTCTAGTTAATTTCAAACTCAAAAAAAAAAAAAATAGTGGAGGGAACTTGGTAGAAGCATACCATTCTCTACGGCGGGAATAGAATGACATGGTGGGAAATTTTCTAATTTGTGTAATTAGCAACAATTAATTTTGCAAGAAAAATAGCAACAATTTTAAAAGGCTGGTTTTCAAAATTAGCAACAATTATTAAAAATTTCTTGCCTATAATTGTGAATGGCTGCCTATTTAGCGAGAGTTAATTAACCGGTTTTTGTTTTGTTTTTTGTGAACAATCATTTTAAATTGTAATTAAGTGATTGTTGTTATTTTTCTTTTTTTTGTAACGAAATCCTTATACTTGTTTTCAAGAGAACTCTTCACGTCCATTCATTAAATCACATCTATACAATCATTCAACAGATAAGAATTATGCCATTGAAATAAAACCTAAATTCAATATTGAATTAGGAAGAAGTTTGTTTACAATTAATTATTCTTCCCCTTCCCCTTCTCATTCCCTCTTGCAGGCGTCTGAGATGATGCTGTTCCAGACAGCTGCCTTTCCTGCAAAGATGAAAACGCAATGTTTATTTGACACAAAAAGTTGTGAATATATGAAAGTTAGAGTTGAGGTAAATTACTGAGTCTAGCAATGATACTTCAGGAGTGGGATAGGGATCATCTGCACCCAGAACTGGAGTGACTACCAACTCGTGGCTCTGCACATGAAAGTAATGGAAAAAGATTTAATATATTTGATTTAGACATATACTAGTAAACAAACCCATGCAATGCAGAAAATCCACCTAGGCTTTTACTAAGAGTCCTATACGGGCTTTAATTTTGAAATCCAATAGTTGGATTTCTGATAGCATTACAAATTGAGATCCAGGTGAGTGGGTTACACTAGTTGAGGTGGGTTCTAGGTTAGTGGGTTGCGCTAGTTGAGGTGGGTTCTAAGTGAGTGATGATTTTTAGTGGGTTAGGCTAATTGAGGTGGGTTCTAGGTGTATGGGTTGTTTTTCAATGGGTTAGGTAGCCTAAATTGGGATCAACAATGCATGATGACCTAAGCAGGGTAGATTTGGAAAGATAGGGAGGGTTTACAAAGCTGAATTATTGTGGATTAGGATTGGTTTATGGGTGAAGTAATGGGCTTGTTTAGGCTGACTTCCAAAGATGAAAATGGGGCTAGTTTCTACTGGTTTGAGATAGAACAAATGAGTTGGTCCTAAGGCTAATTTTGAGCTGAACAAGGATTGGTCTTAGGGCTGAATTGGGGCAAGGTCTTGGGATGAATAAGGATTGGTTTAATTTGAACGGATCTAGGTGGGTAAAGGTTGGTCTGGGTTTTAAGGGATAAATGGAATTGGGCTCTTATAGGTGTAAGAGCATTGGGTTGGTTGGATCAAACTTCTAAGAGGTGTAGGCAGATTGGGTTGAGTTGGGCTGGGTTTCTACAAGTGTTGGAAGTTTGGGATTGGATTGTGTTCTATGAGGAATAGGTATGTTGTATTGTTGGTTAAATTGAGCTGGGTTTCTGCAAGTATTGGATTGGATTATGTTTCTACAAGAAATAAGTAGGTTGAGTTGATGTTGGCGATTTGGGTGGGTTATGTTGGGTTGAGTGTGGTTCCCGTAAGTGTTTAGAGGTTTGGGTTGGATTATGTTCGAAAAGAAATAGGTAGGTTGAGTTGATGTTGGAGATTTGGATGGGTTATGTTGGGTTGTGTGTGGTTTCCAACAAGTGTTTAGAGGTTTGGGTTGGATTGGCTTCTAGAGGTCTTTAAGTACACAGAAGGAAGGTGATAAGGCATCACCAGAGAAAAAAAAAGGCAAAAAACAATCAAAACTTCACATAAACCACAGCCACATTTCTGGCGCCTATACAAGAACATAAACACCACTCTCATTCACCTAAACCCCCCTTACAAAAGGAACCCAGATATCCCCCTAATTTATTTATAATATTCAATATCCAATTATAATCTGAATTCATTTCGAAACTGCTGCATATCCAATGAATACAATCTGATTCAAATTCAGATATAAACGAATCCATTTTGGATCTACCTACATCCAATTTGATTCAATCCATTTGCAGCTCTAGGGCTGTGTTGGTTTCTATCAGGTTGGGTGAGTTTTGGTTTTAGGGGAATTTAAGTGGGCTGGGTAACTAAGGTGTGAGTAGATTTAAATGGGTTAGGTTTAAGCAAAGTAGGCTGAATTGGTTTCTAAGAGCCTTAGGTAGACTTATGTTGGCTTAGGTTCTAGGAGATTCAGGTGGGCTGAATTGAATTAGACTAAAAGATGTAGATGGGTTCAGTTGTAAGGGGTATAACTACTATAATTTCTAGCAGTTAAATGAATCTAATAGGAATTGGCTTGCGGTTGATTCCTGTTGCTATTTGTAGTAGCAAATAGGGGCGAGTGAAGATAAATTGAAGGCTGAAATGAGGGATTGACCACTGCCACTTGTACCAGTAAAATGTTATTCCATTTGCAGCAGCCAAAAAAATAGGGAATAGAGGCAAAATGAGTATTCTACTATAGCAAACTTCCATCACATCCATAGCATGACCAACATTAATGACAATCAGTGACATTAAGCACAATCACCAGTTCAGAACCAACCAATTAAGCTAAGCATGATCATCATTTTATTACATCAAATATTAAATCACACTGAATAAACCATGTGAAACCTAATGTGACTGATGCATATATAAGGAATCATATAGTTCATTGAAACAAAATCATATAGTTCACACAGTTCAATAACATGATTTCAACACAAATCCGACCACATAGCAAGATTTTACCTGTACTGGAGGGGGAGGGGGAAACAAATCAGGCAGACCCATTTGTTGCCCTAACTGTTGTAACATGGCCCTCATCCACACCATGTCGGATCGCAATTCCTGCAATTGTAACTTAATTCCTTGAAATCTCTGCTGCAGCTGGCTGTGCGACATGGCAGTTATGGTCGCAGTGGAGTTTCCGGACCTGGGGGTTCCAAAAGCATGCCTTGGGTATGGCTCGAAGCCCAAGCACATAACCTGTGAAGGATGCTCCTTGCCCAAGACTTCTCTTACTGCATTATGGGTACCCATGAGTTCGACCTGGGTGCCGAGTTCTACCCGCTCAGTCACATATGCCTCCACCCTCACCTACAACAAAAAGAACATATATTTTATAGGATTCAACACAAAACCAAACTATCCTCTTGGGGATGGGGGGGATTGTGTTGTTCGCTATATGCCACCACACAAGGGGAGGGAAAAGATGGTGGGAAATAACTTTTTGTGACACTTGACCTAAATGTCACCAAAACCTTAAATAAACATTGTGGATGATCAACTTATGTTGGCGTTTAAACAAAACATCATGGGAAGGAACTGGTGCAAAGGACTGTGGTGATGTGATACGACACTCCACAGCATTTCATGCAAACACTGCTGAAAGTACACTTTCCACAATGTGTATTTTAAACCCTAACGACACTTTTTTGTAGTGTGAATAGTGTCAAAGTTTATTCCATTCTTTATCTAAAACAAAGTAATAAAGATCAAAACCAGCTACTTGTGTTCTATAGCCTCAATATGACTGGTGCGGCATGCACTAGTTTAACAATATAGTTGATCCTTTGCTGAATTGTAAGGGATTAAAGGAGTTCAAAAAAAAGGAGGGTTATTAGAAATGTTTTAAGGAAAGAGAGACCAGGCATTCTAATGTTACAAGAAGCAAAGTTCTCTGAAGTGGACAGATGATGGATAAGAAGTATTTGGGGTATTAGAGGAATGACTTGGCCCTACGCTCCACCTTGGGGTGCATCAAGGGGAATCCTGACAATATGGAGAAACAAAGAGCTGGAGAGTAGGGAGGACCGGAGGAGCTGATTGGACAATTCTCCGTCTCAATAAAAGTTAAAAAGGTGGGAGACGGAAGGGAATGGGTCTTAACGAATGGGAAGAATTAGCAGCTATTAGGGGCTTATGAAAGGGACCTTGGTGTCTGGGTGGTGATTTCAATGTAATAATACACAAATGAGGGTTGGATGAAGCTGAATTTCGAGGGGAGTTGTGTGGGTAACCTAGGCTCTTCAGGTATTGGGGGGGCCATTAGAAATGAAAATGGTTCCATGTTGCTTTGTTCTCCAGTCCTGTGGAGGAGGGTGATGTAGCTAGGGCAGAGTTTCTAGCTGCAGTATATGGGGTTGAAAAGGCCAAAGAGTTGGGGATTAATAGACTGATCATCGAGGGAGACTCAAAAACTGTGATAAAATGGTCGCAGAAAGGAGGAGTGACCTGGCAGCTGAAGAATGATTTCAGAAGGTTCAAATGGATGTCAAGAAATAAGTCTATTCAGGTGGGTTGGGTTAGGAGATCGGTCAACAGCTTGGCTGATAGCTTAGCAAAGCAAGGGGTTCAAAGAACAGATATGTTTTGGGCACATTTGTAATTCTGTCTTCGGTCAGCTTCAATGCTGATTTCTTTGTAACTTCTTGTTGTATATTAAAGCGTCTTAATTGATGAAATTTTTCAGAGTTATTGATAAAAAAAAAGATACACAAATGAGACAAATAACCCAAATCAAACCATTAATTACCAGTATGAGGAAATCCAATGAGTTGATTGAATCCTTACAGCTTAAGGAACCCACCCTGTTGCAAGCATCCTTTACTTGGTCAAATTTTCAGGAAATATCGCTCTGTTCCAAACTGGATAGATTCTTTACTCAGTTGACTAGGACAATCTATGGGGAAATTTGGTCTTGATTCTTGAAAGCTCTCCCTAGAGTCACCTCTGATCATTACCCTTTAACCTTAAGTCAGGAAACCTTTCTTGGGGACCTTATACCTTTTCGGTTTGAAAATATGTGATTAGAAGATCAAGCTTTCAAGGAAAAAATAAAATAAAGTAAATGGTGGACAAAGTGATTCCCCAGGAAGAAAGAAGAGGGTGAGATTTATGAAAAAGCTTAAGAAACTGAAAGAAAATATCAAAGAGTGGAATAAAGAGGAACTTGGAAAGCTAGAAGAAACAAAGGACAGAATTGCAAAGAGAATGGAGGAACTATATGAAAAGGAAGCCAGAAGAGAGTGTAACCTAGAGGAAAGAACAGAAAGGTGAAATTTGAAGGTGAAACTAGAGGAAATCTCGAGGAAAGAAGTAATTTCTTGGAGTCAGAAAATCAAGGTGTAAGTGGTTGTTAGATGGAGATGGAAATACCAAGTCCTTTCACTCACTAGCTAATGGTAGAGGGAAAAACTTGATTTCAAGCATTGAGATTGGGGACCAGGTGATATCTAGGGAGGAGGATATTGTTAAGGCCTTTGTGGATCATTTCAAATCAATATTTGCTACTACAGGAGAGGAGGAATTTGGTTTTGGAGAATGTAGAGATGATGGAGTAGAACACAATTCCAGTGGCCCAAGCAGCCTTCTTAGAGAGAAATTTTAGTGAAGAAAAGAGGTTCATAATGTTATCTTCTCAATGGAGTATGGACAAAGCCAAAGATCCGGGCCCCAATGAGTTCTCTATGGCCTTCTACCAAGATTGTTGGGATATTACAAAAAAAAATGATCTGATGGAGATTCCTGTTGAATTTCACTCTAAAGGGAAATTTCTCAAGGGGGCAATGCTATATTTCTAGCACTAGTGCCTAAAAGGAAAGAGGCCAAAACCCAAAAAAGATTATAGACACATTAACCTGGTGGGTAGCCTTTACAAAGTGATAGCCAAGGTCTTGGCAGTTAGGGCCTGTTCGTTTGCTCTAAAATCGGACATTTGGAAGTGCAATAATTACATTAAGAGGTACATTGGTAATGGTGAACTTTTCTTTACTCTGAATTCTGAATGCAGAGAATGTTGTTCTGAAATTCTGAATTCTGAAAATTATCAAATATCCATTTTAACCCCATATATGAGAGTTTGTGTTTGTCTTTTTGGGGGTATCATTGGAAAACAAAAAGTCGTATGATTGCACTTTAAGTGATAAGAGATAAGAGGAAACGAACAATCCTTTTTCTCTTAAAGTTAAAAGATTGCTCTTAAGATATAAGAGTTAAGAGGGCTATTGAGGGGCATGACAGTTAGAGTTCAGGGGTTGGGTAGATCGGCTAATGCCTTGGCTGATTATTCTTGCTAAACAAGGGGCTACTCGGATTTCATTGTATTGGGCTTCTTTGTAATTTTCCTTTTCCTGTGTTATGTTCTTTAACTAAAGGGTTGATGGTTTCTTCCATCTCCCCTCCTTAAAGGGGAGGTAGCATCTAGTGCCTCTCCTTAAATTCTACTATCTTTCGCTTTGATTTAATAAATCTGACAATTCACTGATAAAAAAAAAAGATTTAAGAGTTACAAGGAAACGAACAGGCCCTTAAGACTAAAAATTGTTTTGTCCCTTTGTTATATCACAAAATCAAGGAGACTTTTGCTCATTCTTTTTGGTCTACTCCTTACCCTTCTAGGCCCTTCAACTCCAGTACAAATTGATTATTTAGAAAATCCACCCAACACCATTTACAAATCATCTTAGATTTGGTTTCGCCATGTTTGTGCTTGCATGGCAAATCTAGCCTGAGTATCTGCCCTTCAAAGGTAGCAACTTGAAGGTTTGGAGAGTCCATCCCGAATAAGGTTCATAGGGAAGAGTCCATCCCGAATAAGGTGGATATTGCTACAGGGGAAGTTTTGTTCTCTGTCCAAATCTGGCCTGAGTATCTGCCGTCAGAGAGGAGATGGCAGCGGGGAGATCGAGGGAATGAGAAGTCCCAAAAAGAGGGGACTTAGGCTCAGTTTGGGAGGAGTACAAATACAAATACATAGACTGCAAAACCTTGTATTTTGTATTATTTTGTATGCATTTGCACTGTACATATTTGTATTTGTACTCCTTCCAAACTGAGCTTTAGTGATGTTCAACCTGACTTCCGATCTCCATTGACCTTTCCGGTAGTTGGTGAAGGTGAGGAAGGAGACATAACCAGTTCTAATCCAAGTTGTCTAATCTTGGATGTCTTGGAGGGTCAGGATGTGCCATCTAGAGATAATCTTGAGGGCGGTGTTCAAAATTCAAATATTGGGACAAATAGGCAGAGTTTGGGAATCGAAAGTTAAAAAGTCTAATTAAACAATGTTTGGTGGAGATGCATGTGGCACCCATGGAGGAAAACTCACCGAAGAGCTGTAGAGAGATCCGACATACTCAAGTCCTCAAGCATTATAGGGGCCAAGAGAATTTATCAAGGGGTCAAAAGCCCACATCGAACCAACCAACCCTGACTAGGTGTCCTTCACAGGTATACAGAAGTGGGATTGGGCCCAAGGCAATAAGCGAACCCAGGGCTTTCCTCCATATGAACGAACCTAGCAGCCCGAACCAAAGGGAACCTAATTGGTCCAGCCAGCCTCCAAAGAAAATCGGGAACAGTGGTGAAGAGCAAGCTCGCAAGCAGGCCTCTCCGCTGATGGTTTCAAATGGTAGTGTCAGCGCACAGATTGTTCATCTTCAACCTCCTAGCCCTCTGTGCTCGTTTGCTTCACCTCCCATGGAGGAAACCGGGTTGGAGGTGCACCATCTTGTGTTGGCGTAGGTTGAAGAGGATCTAGTTGAAGCTGCTCCTATTGCGGTGGTGGAGTCCAATGAACAATTCAAAGATGGGGATGAGGAACCTAATTAGCTTAGCTCACAAGAGGAGGGGAAGAGAAATTGAATTGCGAGAAGCAATTGGAAGTCCAGCTCCATTGAGTAATAACAAAGGAAAGACACCTAATTCATCGTTCCAAGGAGGTAAGCCGCCTAATATATCTGCCTCCTCTTCTTGGGTTTCCTCGAAACTCTTGGCGTTGGGTAAATTCTTCAGAGTTTCAATGGAGGGGATGTTGGAAGAAACAACTAAATTTTTGGAGGGGGTTGAACAAAGAATCATTTTGGAGAGAGAGAAATTAGTGGCAAAGAATGGAGGAACGAACTCAAAGAGGAGTAGAGAGATGATGAGGCTGACTTGGGGTTTAAATGATAAGGCAGATAGTAGTGTGGGGACATCGAGGGGGGGAAGTCTAAGTTTGAGGTTGTATTCAGCTCTATTCCTATTTTCTCATGGATTTAAAAATTTTATCTTGAAACATAAGAGGTTTGGGCTCAGAAAGAAGAAGATTAGTGGTGTGTGCGTCTCTAAAGAGATCTAGTTCGAAGAGTTAAAGAACTGGTTTTCTTACCGGGTGGTGAGGGGGTAGAGGTAACTAGAATAGTGGGATTTGAAAGCAGTGGGCATGGGTTCAAGTCTGTCTTAGGATAGTGGTTTTTGGGTATTGGGCCTGGGTTTGCCTGAAACCCAATGGGCCTCCCAATCTTCCTGAGGCGGTCCAACCTTTCCTCCTGGAGTTTTGCTAAGCCAACTGTTGTAGTTAATGTAGAGGGTTACACTATATTCATCTCAATTCTGATATCCTCTCGCAATCCTCCTATGAAGCAGCCCACCAAGGCGGCCTCCGGTCATCCACGCACTCTGATAGCCAGCCATTCAAATTCATTTTGGTATTCCCTTACGGTCCCGGTCTGCTTAACCCGTGAGAGAGACTCATTGAAGTTCTCATAGCCAAAAGGTCCAAACCTTACTCGTAAAGCTTCAGTGAGATCTAACCAAGTGATCTGTGGGTGGGTCTTACAATACCACTGATACCACATAATGGCTTCACCATCCATATGAATGGCAGCAATGGAAACCCTTTGGTCTATAGGGGTTTCATGGAATTCAAAATAATGCTCAACACAATAGATCCAAGGGACAGGGTCATCACCTGAGTAGATCGGAAAGTCAATCTTGGCGGCCTTGATGGGAAAAGCTCCTTCTCGTCGGCTTCCTCTCCTGCTGCTAGACACTTCGACCTCTAAAACCTTGGGCACCGTTGAGAGCTGTTCGAACTGTCCGACCAATGCGGAGAGAGTTTCTTTGATATCTTTCAGCTCATTGGTGGTCTACCACACCTCCCCTTCAATACGATCTATTTGTTCTTCAAATACCGTGACTCTAGTGGATGGCATCATCGCTAAGCTCTAATACCAGTTGATAGACCCGTAAACTGAATTGAGAAGAATTGGAGCTGGTTCGAGGGAGCTCACCCTCTTGAGATACCCAAGGTAAGAGAAGGGAAAGAGACGAAGAAGAAGAGAGAGCAAAGAAGAAGACATTTATTGCATTCTAGATTGCTGCTCTCAAGAGCTCATATAGATATTTATAATATGGAGCACATCTCCTAACAAACGTAACAACTGAATCACCTCCTAACGTGGACAGCGCAAGTACACGAACCTCAAACGAGGTGTGGTGCGCATGATCCCTGGAGCGGGCTGAGTTGGGCTTCAAGTGTAGTGGGCCTGGACCTTCCATTCTGGGTCTGCTTACACTCGGGTCTTAACATAAATCAAGGATTGGATTGTTTCAATTTGCAACCCATAGGCCATATTATCGAATGGGGTATATTCTTGTACGAAACACCTACGTACCTGTTCTAGGAACTAGCAGGGCTAAATAAGTCTAGTTTGAATATTTAACCAAAGGAAACTAAGCCTGACTATCACTGATAGATTGGGTTATGTTTATTGTGTTAGTTTGATCCAGTAGAGATTTGTAAGAACGAAGAAATATGATATTAAAGCATAAAAGATAATATGGGAGTCCATCAAAACAATCCTGACTGAAATCCGATAGAAAAAAACGATGATGATGAAGTGCAAAAGGTAGTTTTCAGATGCAAAACCCCTATTTCTGCACACATAAGGTGAGATGATGAAGAAAGGAGATCAAAATGGGGATGCTCTCCCTCTTCACCACATACAATGGCTGAATGGAGCGTATGAATAGGGGATGGAACATGTTAGTTAATTGTTTGGTTAAGATTCATGAATCATGAATAGGTCAAAAATATTTTGTTTTTCACTATTTGCCATTGGGACATAAGCAGGTAAACACAAACAATGGTTGTTATGTTGACTTTAGGTAAATATCATCAGGTTTCTTATGGTTACAAAACACTAGGTTATTAATGACAATCAGTGACATCAACCACAATCACCGTGTGAAACCTAATGTGTTTATCAGCCACTGGTTAAAGATTTTAAAATCTACTAGCCTTTTAGCTTTTGAGCTAGTGACTGATGCATATATGAGGAATCATATAGTTCATTGAAACAAAATCACATAGTTCACACAGTTCAATAACATGATCTCACCACAAAGCTGATGGCATTGCAAGATTTTACCCGTACTTGAGGGGGAGGGGGGAACGAATCAGGCAGGCCCATTTGTTGATTTAACTGTTGTAACATGGCCCTCAGCCACCTCATGTCGGACTGCATTTCCCGCAGTTGTAACTCAAGTTCTTGAACACTCTGATCCTCGCTGAAGACTTCTCTAACTCCATTATGGGTACCCATGGGCTCGACCTGAGTGCCAAGTTGTACCCGCTCAGTCACATATACCTCCAACAAAAAAAAAACATATATTTTATAGGATTCAGCAAAAAACCACACTGTCCTCTCAAGAGGAGGGGGGAATTGTGTTGTTTGTTATATTTCGTGACATTTCACCTAAACGTCAACAAAACCTTAAACAAACGTTGTGGATGATAAACTTCTGTTGACGTTTAAACAAAATATTGCGGGAAGGAATTGGGCGAAGGACTGTGGTGGTATGATATGACACTTAACAGAATTTGACACAAATGTCACTGAAAGTACACTTTCCACAGCGTTTATTTTAAACATTGCCAAAGGACACTTTTTTTGTAGTATGAATAGTGCCAAAGTCTATTCCTCTCTTTGTCTGAAACAAAGTAATAGAGCTCAAAACCAGCTACTTGTGTTCTGTGGCCTCAATATGACAGCTGTGGAATGCAAGAACTAGTTTAACAAAATACAGTAAACTATTGACTATACTTTTTGGGAGATTTGTTCTGAGTAAAGGATGCAACAATCAATTTTGAGTTTATTTCTGGGTAAAACTCCTCACTTATTTGAGTTCTCATTTTGCCCCTTCTACAATAGAAAATATTTTTCCTTGCATTTATACCAAAATGGCAGAAATGAAAGCTGAAATGTCTGTCTGTAAAATGTCACATCCATTAAGTAGAAACAAACACAGCCTCAAGGAATTTCTGAATAATCAGAAACTATATTAACCATGTTCAATTAGTTTTTTTTCTTTTCTGGTTCATAGATTAAAGAGAAATTATATTATGAACCATGATGCTGATTGATTTTGAATTGAATGCATAGCTTTCAAGGCACCAAGGTGAGGCTAGGCAATAAAAAACATATATCCTAGGGTAGTTCCCTCCATTCCATAAGCATATTTCCTTAATAATTATCCATAATTTTCATAAAAAAAAGTATAAACTTCATGTTAAAGTATAGAAAATCAACATATTCATGAGAAGAAGAAAAAATAGAAAATTCAAAAAATATAGGGGCTGAACCCATATTTTTGTTATAGGAAAAGAAGAAAAGAAAAGGTGAAAGAGTAAGATGTGGAAGAAGAAAATGTGTTGATTAGACAAAATTTTAAGTTCTTCCTTACTTAATGGTCTAGGTTTTGCAATCTTTGAGGGTTCAATACAGCATTTAGAAATGTTTGTGTTGATTAAACCCTAACAAATAAGAAAATAATAGAACAAAAGTAGTATATAAACACACAAAATGAATATTTTAGTTTAATAATGTCTAACCTATAATTATAATATCAAAAAATTAAGAATATAAAAGTATTTTATAACGCGAAAGTACAAAATTGCTCTGCGATTAGGCAAGGCAAGCCTCTAAGGGTGCCTTGTCGCCTAGGTGTCACTTTGACAACTATGATTGAATGCTTGCCATTGCTAGCCAAAGGCCCACATGCCTCACAGCCATGCAAAGATCAAAATGGAAAAACCAAACCTAAGATAATAAGTAAATGGAATTAGGTGAATTTCTAAATAATCAATTTGTAAAGCGGTTGAAGAAGCTAGGAAGGGTAAAGGGTAGCCCAAAAAGGATATCGGTAAAAGTAGTAAGAAATGATTTAAATGCATATAGCTGGTCTGCCAGTGGTGATGATGAAGTAGATCTATGGTGCTTAACTATTCTATCAAAAACAAAATAGAATCCATCAGTATGGTCAAGCTGGTCATGGCAGAAAACAAAAAGTTTATAAAATCCTAAAAAAAAAGTAAGAAAAAAAATCAACTCCACAACGATAAAACAAGCTTCCCATAGCATCAGACTTGCAAATTATTATGAAGGAAAAGCAAATTTTTACCAAAAAGAGCAAAGAAAAGCAAATGACAAAGCAATGATATCATTAAATTATTTTTATACCACCAAAATCCAAGCAAAACAATATTTTTAGAATGTAGAGATCTAGAAAATGATTAAATATATGTTACTTATGAATCGTACTAAAAATTAGAATCGGACTACAACTATCTGAAATATATCAGTCTACATTTGTGCCAAGTGATGGCATATTTAAAATATTAACAAGTTATGATTACTTATAATTGCTTCAAGAAGATTACAGGTATCAAATCAGAAAAAATAAATAATAAGCAGGCAAGTTTTCATGAGCAATGAGGAACAATATCATTTATCCATTTCAAATCTGTATAAAACAATGAACTCACACAAATCTTCTTCAGTGCCGTCAAACAAATCATATATAAACAATGAAATTAGCAAAATCACATTTTCAAGTCGAAATCGTATCAATCAAGGATAATTGAGAACTGCTAATAATAGATATAAGAAGTATAAATGCCTCCACTCCTGAATAAATATAGATGTTGTTAGACAAAAATACTTCCAAAGCAAATTAACAAGTACTAATACAACCAATGAAAGAAATCAAGACACAAGAAACCAAATTTAAATTCAATTATCACAGAATAAGATGAAGATATAAACAATAATGAAAAAAATACCAAAAACTAAGGATTTGATAATGCAGAGTACGGTTGGTAGTAAATTATACCTCAATTCCTTCGTTAATTCTGCCTGCAACTCTAGGAGAAACCAGGGTCTCGGTATAAGTTGTTCTAGAATGCGGGCGATTAATTCGAAGTTCTCCAATTTTCCTTTTGTTTATTATATCAATTAATAATAGTGACTTTTCAGAGTGAACCACAAGATGACTGTTCTTCCATAATTCCAAATTACAAAAATATTTATAATCCCCAAAGTCTGACCGAGTGAGAGAGAACATTTTAGTCCAAGAATTCTCTGAGCCATAATCCTGCATTACCCATATGTCAGTACCAGAGCGTCTGTTGCAAGCTACTGCCAAGCACCCCTCAAGCGCATGCAATCCGTGGCCCCAATCAATTTCATCATCCATGCCACGCGGCAGGCACGAAACCTCTCTAAACATTTCATCCTTGAGATCAAAAGCAGCAATTTTAGTCCAATCACTTCCATATATGATCCAGTGAATAGACCTTTTGCCAAGGGCGTGACTAAGTTGGAGCCAACTGCCATGACCGTAAAAGCCACTAGCGTATGGATGGGATCCAATTTCAAGCTTTTTCCAGGAATTTGTCCCCAGCGTGTACAAATTACTCTCGATGAGTTCATGTTTGCGATAATTTGAGCCATAAATGAGTCGTACCACCTTGTATTCATCGGATGTGGGTTCGTAACCAAACCCCAGATACGGAGTATAGTATCCAGATCTGTGAAATTCAATCGGCAGTTGTCTGCAATCTCTGGTCGCGGGATTCCACAAATAAGTGAGTCTGGAGCCAAGTGATAAACATACCAAGCCATTACAGGTGTCCACCAATTGGACTTTCTTGATTGAAGTCTTCTCAAATGGCAGGACTAGTTTAGCCTTGCGAAATGACTCAAGATCAACGAAATGGAGGGTGGTCGAAGTTTTGACGAAAAAATGAGAGTAGTTGCTCGCTTCACGAGTTGCTCGATTGAGATGCATCCTGATGAAATGAGGATCACCGATTTTATCGCACCATGATTTGCACACAGACTTGAAACGCATAAGAGATTCGACAGGCAGCCTTGAGAGTATGTCGTCGATAATTTCGTCTGGGATGAAATTCGGCGACAGCGCTGCACAACATTTTTCTTGTTTTGCTCTCTTCGTATTTTCCTCCATGCTTGATAGATTCTTTCTCTTCGTGTATGTCCGACTGGCGAAGACGAGTAGACGACGAAGAACGAGTGCTGAAGGTCTGGGGTCTGAAATTTGAATCGATGTGAATTCAATATTTGAAGAAACCTAACCTCATGATATCGCCGCCCTCGTTCTAGCGATCCCTTTTCCCTCTTTTTTTTTTTTCGGACGGCCCTTTTTCCCTCTTTAGGTATACCCCCGAAGAGCTCACATCTCCGCCCCACAATGTCCCACATCACACTCCCGCCGCGTTGTGATGATGACAGCATCGAATGATGTTTCCAATACGCCGTATGTATCGGGGGACGTTGTGGGGCGGAGTTCCAATACGCCGTATGTATCGTGAGACGTTGCGGGTTCATTAGCCATTTTGTGTTTGATTCACCTTTGAACATTTTGATGTTTGAAACTTTCCGTTAATACCATTGCTGTCGTCGCTAAAATCTACAGTCGTTTTATTGCAATTTGAACACCATTGATAAGGCTTGTTGTTGTTACTGGTTGGGGAGAAGGTTTGAGTCACAGGCTCCGTAAGTTTTTTTCACAAGTTATAGAATTTAGATTTTTTTAATCTCTTTTATAAGGTTGTAAGTGATGGCCAGTTAAGCATGAAATGATGTGTCAAAATTTTAATGGATTCAAGAAAAAATCCCTTGAGTCCAAACCATTGAATCCGAACTGCCCACAATGTGGCAGTCGCGTGCGGGGGACGGCCGTTAGTTCATCCCATTAGTCCTAAAATGACTTTAAATTTTTTTTTGTTTTTAAAATGACCTAATGTTTTAAAAAATGACCCAAAAATGGAACTGTTTTGGCCACCGTTTTTTAGGTTGACGATCCGATCATTCAGTTTGAACGGACGGGCCGTTATGACAAATAATAAACTAAAAAAATAAAGATAATTAAAAATAAAAATGGTTAAAAAATGTTGAATGGATCGATTGCTCGAATCAACAGAACCAGTTGACAGTTTGGCTCGAACGATTGGACTGTGTTAGGGGGTGGGAATATGGGAGCAAGGAGGTTTAGCCTCCACCCCACCACATGTGACTAGACATGTGGCAGTTGCACGTTGTGTGGGGCAACAAGTGGTGGTGGTCGCATAGTGACAGTGAATTGGACGGAGTGATCGCTGGTGCCAAAGATGGAATTGGATTCGAACTCGAGCAAAGGAGAGTAAAACGGGGTCAAACACTATTTGAGGTTGAGGGGGCGGGAATATGGGAAATTTTAGCGTTATTCGATCCCTGCAAGCCAAGTCGCACAACATCTAAGAGAGCAAGGGTTTTAACTGTCAAGCCACCTTCCATTTCTTGATAACAATTGGAATAAATTATCTTTTATTAAAATTACTTATTACATTTAATCTAAACAAATAGTACATTCAATAACTCCAACTCCAACTCTCCAAGTACAAATTAACAAGAATAATATTCAAAATAATTATTTTATAAACTAATAAAAGAAATAATTTACCAAATCCACATATATATAAATGATTTTTAATTTCAATATATTTATAAAAAGAAAAATATTATTAATAGAATAATTATTTTAATAATTAAAATTACTTATGTAGACTTGATAAATTATAATAATTATTTTATAAATTATTAATTAATATTTCAATTTGCATTAAATAACAATGTATTTATTATTACAAAGATAAAATATTGTTTACAAAATATTTGAGAATATAATATAAATTGAATCTATCAAATCCATTAATCTACATTTAAATAAAAATAATTTTTTTATTTTAAAAAATCATAAGAATAAAAATATTAATAATGAATACTTATTTTTTGTAATTAAAATTTATGAATTTTCATATGATATGCATCTTCAAAATTTCATTTACATTTTATATAAACATATTTATTATTTACAAAAGTGAAAATATTATTTACTAAACATTTGCAAACTAATTTTTAGTTGATTTTTTTGTTGATGCTAAAAATTGAAATAGTAAAATAAAAAGAAATGATATAATAATATTTTAATAAAAATAAAAATTGATGCATTATCAATAAATTTTTATAATATCTATGTATCCCATTATATCAATAATAATATATTTCTTCAGATATACCATTAAAATATACAATTCTGACATTAAAATTGAAGTTATTAATAGAATTGAAGTTATTAATAGAGTTATTAATAGAATAATAATATCTATGTATTCATATGTTATTTATAGTTATTCTCACGTTAAAATTGAAGTTATTAATAGAATTATTGAATTTATATGCATTTCCTTAGCGTATCCAAGCATTTTCATATTTTTCATCCGTATCATTGTGTTTCCCAAGCATATCCAAGTTGTCCGATAGGATACCTGATATGGATACTTTAATCATTGCCGGTATTTAGCCAAAAACCGTTGAAAACGTCAACAACCCGTTGACCAAGGCGATCGAACCTTGACCCGTCGACTCGTTCAACGATTTTTTAGCGCTTTTTTTTTAATTATTTTTTATTTTTTTAATTTATTTGTCAAAACGGGCCATCTGTTCAAACCAAACAACCGGATCGTCGACCCAGAAACCAATGGCCAAAACGATTCCATTTCTAGATCGCTTTTTGAAACATTGTATGGGAGAAAGAAATTTGGACTCATTTTTGGGCTAACAGGACGAGCTAACGGTCATCCCATTAGCCCCGTACGCGGGAACGCCCACTGCATGCGACTGGACATGTGGCGGTCGCACATTGTGTGGAACATTTGTGGGGCGACAGGCGGTGGGGCGGGGATGCGAACTCTAAATTACAGTGGAACATATTTTCTTGGGTTCATTTATTCAAATCGAATCTGGATTGAAGTATTTTCACCCAAAAAAAGAATTTGAATTCTGGATTCAAGTATATAAAGCGGAATTGGAATTGAAAATATTTAGGCCCTGTTTGGCATTGTTCCTCATTGTTAGAGGAAAAATAACTAAGGGGTTTGGCAATATGGAACCAAATGGGTATAGAATACAAAAATACAAAAACCTCTCCTGAAGTTTTTGACAATCATAAAAACCTCCCCTCAAGTTTTATTTTAACAAAAACCTCCCCTAAACTTTTGTAAAACACTACATATAGCTTCCTTTCATCATTGAACCAAACGGAAAACATTCAACTGATGCATTAATTTTTCTAAAATGACCATCCTACCCTTTTAAAGGATTCTCGAGCCCTGTTATCATTCTCATAGGACATGAAAACGCCATTCCTACTAATTGAATGATTCTTGAGCTCTATTAGTGTGATGCATGCTCTATAGGTTGATCACCCTTCAAGTTCGGGGAGAGGACTTGGAAAAAGGGAACCGAGGGTGAAGGGAGGAGGGGTTAGCAGAAGGAGATGGTGGTCGGCATGAGGGAGAGGGTCGAGGGTGAGGAGACCATAAGTGGTGGAGGTGAGAGAAACGATATGGTGACCGAGTCCAGAGCTCATGAGATGGGAGAAGTCATTGTCGTGAGCAAGCAAAGTGGAAGAGACGCAACCCATATGGGAAGGAGACGGGAAAACAGAACAATAAGCACCAAAGCAGTAGTAGACAGAAACGAGTAAACTCAACCAAACCCTTGAAATTTAAAAATTTAAAATTTAAAATAAGGTGGTTAATTCCCTCTGCTAGTCTTCTTCACAGGTCCACTACTAGAGAAATCTGTAGTGGTTGAATGCTACCTCTCTTCTTGACTTGATGGAATTTTAGGGGTAGGAGATTGAAAAATAAAAATGATGGTAAATGAGTTATTTCAAGTTAAAATTAGGATTATTTTAATAAAATTATACATGAAAAGAAAGAATCTACAGCAGATTAATAGAGCTCGAGAATCCTTTAAAAGGGTAGGATGGTCATTTTGGAAAAATTAATGCATCAGTTGAACGTTTTCCGTCTAATTTAGTGATGGAAGGGAGGTATGTGTAGAGTTTTCTTAAAGTCTAAGGAAGGTTTTTGTTAAAATAAAACTTGATGGGAGGTTTTTATGATTGTCAGAAACTTCAAGGGAGATTTTTATATTTTACCCTTATTTTTATATATACATTTGAACTTTGTTGCACATTTAAGTAAACTAAAAACTTAGAAAGAAATCACTCGCCAGTTCAAATAATCAAAATTTAAAAACAAATGCATGGTGAAAAGTGCCTCAATGCTTATTTATTGAGCAAAATCGACAAAGAAGATGTCTGGTATATCGTAGAAAACAATAAATTCTTGCCTTAGAGGTTTGTCGGCAAAGACGATGACAGTATGAGCCTAGAAGTACGGACAGAGCTTCCGAGCTGTGATGACCAGTGCGTAGGCTATCTTCTCTATCTCTGGATATCTCGTCTCTGCTCCCTGCAATATTTTACTAACATAATAGATGGGTTGTTGGACCCGATTTACTTTCTTTATCAGTACCAAGCTGACCACTTCATCACTTGCCGAGAGGTACAACTCTAAAACATCGCCCTCTTCGGGCCAGGTTAAGATTGGCACACTAACGAGGTATTTCTTGAGCTCGTCAAACGCGAGCTGACAGTTTTGGGTCCATTCAAACCCTTGGCTTTTAATTGCCTTAAATAAAGGCAAACAGCGGTCCGCTGACTTGGACATAAAGCGGCTCAGGGCAGCTACGCGGCCATTCAACCTCTGAACCTCCTTCAACTTCCGGGGTGGTCTCATATCTTAGATGGCCTTAATCTTATCTAGGTTGGCCTTAATGCCACGCCGGTTAACGATGTATCCTAGGAATTTGCCCGAGGTGGCACTGAAGACACACTTGTTTGGATTCAACTTCATGTTAAATTGTCGCAGAATTTGAAAGACAGAATGCAAGTCTTGTATTAATTCGTGTGAGAATTGAGTTTGATGACCATGTCGTCTACATAACATTCTATTTTTTTGCCAATTAATGGCTCAAATAATTTATTTACAAGCCTTTGAAAGGTTGCCCCAACATTTTTCAACCCGAAGGGCATAACCTTGTAACAGTATAGACCGAACTCTGTAATGAAGGCAGTTTTTTCTTCGTCCGTCGGGTTCATCCTGATTTGGTTATTGCCTGAATAGGCGTCTAAGAAACCCAACAACTCGTGCCCTGAGGTCGCGTCCACCAGACGGTCGATTATGGGGAGTGGGAAACAGTCTTTTGGGCAGGCTTGGTTTAGGTCGGTGTAGTCGACGCACATGCACCACTTGCCATTAACCTTCTTTACCAGAACGGGGTTGGCTACCCAGCTCGGGTAATGAACTTCTCTTATGAAGTCGGCTGCGAGGTTGCGTTTCTTCTGTCTAACGGGCCT